TTTTATGTACAATATATTTTTGATACCTTTACAGTTTGGCTAAAATATTTTTTTATTGCGATTAATATAAATGGCATATTATTTTTCAATATCTAAGGAAAAAAGAGATAGAGAATACAGTTATAATAGCTATTTTATTTAAAAATAAACCATGAGATCATTGATTTCCGAACACGTGATGTGAATAGATTTACAATGAGTGTTTGAGATGGAAAAGACTTTGTACTTGAGAAATTTCATATTCGTAGTTTGTATCATATTCTCTATTTTTTAAAACGCCGAGAGTAATTAGTATAAATTTACTAATTTAATCTATATTTATTTAAATAATCAGAGTTATGTAATTTATGAAAAGTTACACTTAAGTGATTACAAATCAATGAACACAAATTTAATAAAATAATAACAATTCGGCAACATTTTAAACCAGTGATTCAATAAAAATTGTTCGATAGTGATTTGGTAATTAAAATAATGAAGTTGAAAATATTCTAGCTAGACTCTACTTAGAAAATACTCTGAGCTATGTACTCATGTATACACATATTTATTTTATATATAGCAAAGAAGAAAATTAAAGCAAAAAATTAAATCTCATATACCAGAAAAGTATTGTTCATTTTCTTATATAATTTTAAGATCACAAAACATTTTATTGTGAAATTATTCACAATGATCAATAAAACTCCCATGTTTATAAAAATCACGATATAGAGCTTTCAAATGGACTTCTAACATGAAATAAACTTGACAAAAGCTCAGCGTTTCACACACACACATATGTATATATATATATATATATATATTTATATAATGTGGTTTGTGAAAATGATTTCAATAAATTTTCAATTTGTAGTCAATGCAATTGTGGATTGGCAAAAATTATTTAAGAAAAGAAAGTAGATTTTGAATAAAGTTATCAAGCTTTCATAAATTTGTAAATAGTCTAACTCTAATCTATTACAACAAATACTTAAGATACATGAATTTGTTGTTCAGAAGTTCTTTTAACCTAAATTAATCAGTTATTTAATAAAAAATGTATAAATTATCAATCATTTTATAAAATAAGTTTTAGTACTATATCTTTCATTTAGGCAATATACGGAGCTTTAGTGAATTGTGTAAATTTCCATACAATTTTCTGGTCAAAATGCAAAAATGTAGTAAAATTTGAGCTAGGCGATAAATAATTTCAAAATAGTAATAAAATTTAAAGGAAAATTTTATTCTGAACGATTTATATATCTAAATCTAAGATGAAGAAGTAATTTAATTGATATTGGATTGGATTTATTAAAAGATCATACTTCAATTGGATATTGTAGAGCAATTATTTTTGGGATTTGTTTTACATAATGTATAAGACTTTAAAGTAACATACCAAAATTGAATATTGCAGAGCAAATCTTTCTTGGATTTGTTTTGGATAATGTATAGGACTATTAAGATAATTTGCTAAAATTGGATATTGTAGAGCAAATCTTTTTCAGATTTGTTTTATATAGTATATAGGACTATTGAAATAATATACCAATCCTGGATATTGTACAGAAATCTTTTTTGAATTTGTTTTAGATAATAAATAGGACTATTAAAAAATATACCAAAATTGGATATTGTAGAGCAAATCATCTTGGATTTATTTTAGTTAATATAAAACTATTCAAATAATTCAACTATTCAACAAAGCAAATCTTTTTTAGATTTATTTTAATATACAGATAATAACAGAACTATTAAAATAACTTGCTAAAATTGGATATTGTAGAGCAAATCCCTTTTAGATTGTTTTAGATAATATACAGGACTATTAAAATAACTTTATAAAATAGATATTGTAAAACAAATCTTTTTCAAATTTGTTTTATATAGTATATAGAACTATTAAAATAATATACCAATCCTGGATATTGTAGAGAAATCTTTTTTGAATTTGTTTTAGATAATATACAGGACTATTAAAATAACTTGCTTAAATTGGATATTGTAGAGCAAAGCTTCTTCAGATTTGTTTTATATAGTATATATGACTATTAAAGTAATATAACAAAATTGGATGTTATAGAGCAAATCTTTTTTGGATTTGTTTTACATAATATATAGAAATAAACCAATACCAATAGTAGAGAAAATCTTCTTTTGGATATGTTTTACATAGTATATAGGACTATTAAAATAACTTGCGAAAATTGGATATTGTAGAGCAAATCTTTTATGAATTTGCTTAACATAATGTATAAGACTTTAAAGTAACATACCAAAACTGGATATTGTAGAGCAAACTTTTTTTGGATTTATTTTATATAATATATAGGACTATTAAAGTAATATACCAAAATTGGATATTGTAGAGCAAATCTTTTTAAGATTTGTTTTAGATAATATTCAGAACTATTAAAATAACTTGCTAAACTTGGATATTATAAAGCAATTCTTTCTTAGATTTGTTTTACACAATAAAAAAGGACTATTAAAAATATATACCAAAATTGGATATTGTAGAGCAAACCTTTTTTGGATTTATTTTCATAGTATATAGGACTATTAAAATAATATACCAAATTCGATATTGTAGAGCAAACCTTTTTTGGATTTTTTTACACTGTATATAAAACTATTAAAATAACTTGCAAAAATTGGATATTGTAGAGCAAATCCTTCATGCATTTGCTTTACATAATGTACAAGACTATTAAAGTAACATACCAAAATTGGTATGTTATTGGTATGTTGGGTTACTCAGATTTGTTTTATATAGTATTTAGGACTATTAAAATAATATACAAATCCTGGATATTGTAGAGAAATCTTTTTTGGATTTGCTTTACATAATGTATAAGACTTTTAAAGTAACATACCAAAATTGGATATTGTAGAGCAAAGCTTTTTTGGGTTTATTTTATATAGTATATAGGACTATTAAAGTAACATACCAAAATTGGATGTTGTAGAGCAAATCCTTTTTAGAATTGTTTAACATAGTACATAGGAATAACATACCAAAATTGGATATGGTACACCACATCAATTTTGGATTTGTTTTACATAATAAATGCATTGAACATTGATAAAGGTTAAATATAGTTGAAACATTGTAACAACAATCTGAAGCCATGTGATTCCCTTTAATAAAATTCATTCATAGGTAAATCTAATATAGCATGTGAATTGAATTACGAAAATTCGTGAAAACTTAGGGAAACAAGTTCGAGTACGAAACTAATGCTCTATTTTCCAAATGATTGAAATATCACTTAACACCGTCCATTAAATTTACGCACGTGTTTAGTATGACATAATGAAGCAAATTGTACAATTCATTCGCAATATAGAGAAACATAGTCGTGCGCTTGAATCTTACTGAATTTTTTAAGAAACAAATTGAAACATGCCAATTAACAACTAATCAAACTATATTATATACAAATGTACTATAATATATGTATATAATAATACATGTATGTATATGTATACATATAATAAACAAGTTTTTACTACGTCCGCAAGTTTTTATTCATTCATCCATTTAAATGAAGTTTGATTAGCAAATAGCATGGGATTTAGTTGAAGACAAGATATGTTGTTTGAAGAAAACGCAAAGAGATAATACGGTTTATCGAATTTTATGATATTTTTTTTTGAACTTGCATGCATATACGAAGTAGTTCTAAGACTACAACTTATGCCAAAAACCAAGTACTAAGACTTTTAAAAAAAGTCACAATGTTGAGAAACGAAACAGTACTCTATTTTTACGTGTACAGGGTCTATTATTACTTGTAACGAATTTGACATGGTGTTCGATTTAAACTTATGCGAAAACGCGAAGAGATGCGGAATTTATCGAATTTTATGATGATTTTTTTTTGAACTTACATGCATATACTGAGTAGTTCTAAGGCTACAACTTATGCCAAAAACCAAGTACTAAGACTTTTAAAAAAAGGTCACAATGTTGAGAAACGGAACAGTACTCTATTTTTACGTGTACAAGGGTCTATTATTACTTGTAACGAATTTGACATGGTGTTCGATTTAAACTTATGCGAAAACGCGAAGAGATACGGAATTTATCGAATTTTATGATAATTTTTGAAGTTACATGCATATACTGAGTAGTTCTAAGGCTACAACTTATGCCAAAAACCAAGTACTAAGACTTTTAAAAAAAGGTCACAATGTTGAGAAACGGAACAGTACTCTATTTTTACGTGTACAAGGGTCTATTATTACTTGTAACGAATTTGACATGGTGTTCGATTTAAACTTATGCGAAAACGCGAAGAGATACGAATTTATCGAATTTTATGATATTTTTTGAACTTACATGCATATACTGAGTGTTCTAAGGCTACAACTTATGCCAAAAACCAAGTACTAAGACCTTTAAAAAAGGTCACAATGTTGAGAAACGAAACAGTACTCTATATTTACGTGTACAAGGGTCTATTATTGCTTCTAACGAATTTGACATGGTGTTCGATTTAAACTCATGCGAAAACGCGAAGAGATACGGAATTTATTGAATTTTATGATATTTTTTTTGAACTTACATGCATATACTGAGTAGTTCTAAGGCTACAACTTATGCCAAAAACCAAGTACTAAGACTTTTAAAAAAGGTCACAATGTTGAGAAACGAAACGTTACTCTATTTTACGTGTACAAGGGTCTATTATTACTTCTAACGAATTTGACATGGTGTTCGATTTAAACTTATGCGAAAACGCGAAGAGATACGGAATTTATCGAATTTTATGATATATTTTTTTTGAACTTACATGCATATACTGAATAGTTCTAAGGCTACAACTTATGCCAAAAACCAGTACTAAGGCAATTTTTTTTAAAAAAGGTCACAATGTTAAGAAACAAAACAGTACTCTATTTTTACGTGTACAAGGGTCTATTATTATGGTGTTCGATTTAAAGTTATGCATAGCAGCCTTAATGACTGTGGTGGCAGGCCACTAATGAGCTAGTTAAGGTGACTTTACCTGAGAACCTGGCTAAGAACCTGTAGAACCTGGAGGCGGTCGTTGTGCAAAGGCAGATTACTGCCAGTAACGCGAATTCCGGGCCATGGGCCCAATCCAAACCGTCCATGGGAACAATCACAAACAAAGCGTCCAGATGATGATACACGTTGCCCGTTCATGCGACATAGGGGCCGTTGATCTCATAATAACCGATCCACATGAAAATTAAAATCACACATCTGACAGTTCGAAGGAACGACTTCTGGGACGTCTAGTTACGTCCATTTTCAAAATCGATTTTTAACTAAAAAGTTTGGGTAAATGACACAGCTCGACATGATAGTATACGGCACAATGCGCTGCTTTTTTACACATACACATGATTCAAAACACTCGCGAAGTACTTGTAGGGTTTCTTAAATTCACTATCACTGTTATTGATTTAATTTAACTAAAATACACTGCACACCGTTCGTGCATCATCATCACAACACTTGAAACTAATACTATATTTATTTATCATTCGAAAAAAAAAATTAATGTTATACGTTCTTTTAAAAACTAATCAAAAATATACGACAACCAAAGCACTCCCAGTCTACATAAAATCTGATATGACAATCCAACGAGCCGGTGTCGGAACTACAGGAGTGTGGCACAGCTCGAACGACCACGAACTGAAACGACGCGAACCGAACGTAGAGACTTCACTTCGCGATACCTGTTTAGAGTACGGTAGTACTCGAATCATTTTGATATGCGGAGTGCCAGCACGATTCACAATGGTAAAACTACAACTCTATTCATAGAAATGTTACAATAAGGGGGCGTCCATTAATCACTTGAGGTTTTTAAGGGGATGGGGGGTTTGAGAAAAAATCACGAAATATTACGTGGGGGAGAGAGGGGTTTAGCAAGATATCACGTGTATTTATTTTTTTACTATTTTTTAAAAAGTTCAAACATTTAAAAAAAAAAAAATCAAAAATTTTACAGTTTTTTCACGTGATGTTTGGTGGGGGATGAGAGTATAATTTTGAATATCACCAAATATCACCAAGGGGGGGTCTAAAAATCCTTAAAAACTTGCTCACGTGATTAATGGACGCCCCCTAATACATAATTTATTACATTTTACAAAGCTCGACACCCGAATGCAAAAGCTTTTTATCGAATTCCTCATGCAAGCTTATTATGTAATGCAGAAAACAATCGCAGCTTACTGCACGTAGCTGTTGATGGCTCCAGATTTAGATGAACCATTCCTAAGTCATTCAATTTTGAATTCTGATAGAAATCTTAACTTTTAACTTTGTTTTCCTTATTACAGACATTTAGAATTACAAAACTGTTCTATGAGTTTGTGTGCTAATTAACGTCACCGTCAATGAGGGTCTTAAGACTCTCTATAATAAGTGTAATTCAAAGCTAATTAGATAGTACAATATATATATATATATATATATATATATTAATATTTATATATATATATATATATATATATATATTAATATATTAATATTTATATATATATATATATATATATATATATATATATATGAAATTGCATAACAAATATATACTTAATTACAAGAACAAGACGAGATTTTATTACAAGACGGGTTTTATTCATTATCTTATTTTAGCTGTTTAAACTAATGCTATTTTTAAGAATAGATTATTTTAAACTATATCATCTAATAAATTATATTTTCAAACCTGTCATATTCTATTGTTATGCCAAATAAAAACATTTAAAATAAATAATTTATATAATTTTGATTTTAAAATAATCATTAATTTTATTTATTATGTACTGATTAAGTTGTGAATAAACTATATGTTTACAATTAATGTTTTTTGTGCATTTTTAGTGAAATAACACGATATATTATGAAGCTAGAATACTACTACTAAATTATTTCGAATGCGTATTTTTCCATTATTTGAGATATTTATTACATCTAGTACATATACAGAAAACAACAACAAATCTTGCAATTCGAAGCAAAATTAAACGGTTTTTGGTATATTTTTATATACCACGAATACAAGTTTAATATATATGTAAGACAGACATTTTAACTTTTTAAAACTAATGTTATTTTTTGAGAATGAATTATTTTAACTTACACCTCATAATACGTTATATTTTCAAAACCTGCTCAATATCATGCTCTCATTAAATCATTGCATTCTATAATAGTCTTGTATAATATTTTAAATAAAACTGATTAATAAAATTGGGACAAGAATATATTTCATTTTTTTTATAACTTTACATAATAAAACTTCCACTAGAAAATCAAAATTTAAATTTAAAAAACTCTCAATCTAATTGTGAACCGGCCACACTAGTTTTCAAGACCATCACCGCCAGCAGTGGGAGGAAAGAGAGTCGACATGAATGGCGGCTGACTGATACTGAAGATTTGACCGAAAACTTTTCTAGGAGGGGGTCATAGGACGAAACCTATATAAAAGAACGCTACCATTGAATGATCGTTGCACTATCATCTGTAGTAAGCGGCGTAACTCACGTTTACGCATTGTTACTATGAGCAGCAAATCATTCTTGAATTTGGCATGAATTAGATGAAGACCGTGTAGGACGATGTTGACATTGCGGATATTATACCGGCCTCAATAATGAGAAAAGGGCTTTATCAAATTGCGTTGTTTTTAATGTTTTTTATTTTTAGTTATTATTTATGCTATTTTTGATATGTTTTTTATAATTGCATAAAAATAACGGATTTTTAAAAAAAAAAAATATATAAATGAATTTTTGAATGAATGAAAAGAAAACGGGTTGACGTGCAAATAAAGATGAATGAATAACAATGAGAAAAAACTCCTTCCGTTACTTTGGTAGACGATATTATAAATAAATAAATATATATGTATATATATTTACTTTAATTTACTAGCTGACCCGGCAAACGTCGTTTACCCAGAAAAAAATTTAAAAATGCATGGAAAAATTTTCAAAAATTTAAAAAATGTATTTTAGGCGCCTTTCAAGTATTACGTAAGCACTATAGAGGGGCGGAGGGGTTGTTGATTTGCTTATTTTGGGTTGACATGGGGGGCAGGGGAGTCTGGATGATGATTACGTCATAGGTAGTATTTTTATTTTTTTACATTAATTGCAGAATGTTTACGTAAGCATGGGGGTTGGGGTAAGAGCTTTGCTTACTTTTGCTGATAAGGGGGATGGGGGGGTAAATAATTGTAATAAATCTGCTTACGATCCCTTAGATGTAACTTAGCGTGACATGAATTGTCACTTTTGATTCACTTATCGCTAAGTTATATCTAAAAGACATTTAAAAATTTTTGAAATTTTTTTCCATGCTAAATTTTGATTGAATTGCACTCTATCTAAAAGTTAATATTAAGAGCTAAACCTTTTAGAGAATTTTTTTTATCAATTTGGAACCGTTTGAGCCCCTGGGAGCAAAGAAATTCGAAAATGTCCATACTAAGGACCACCCTAATATATATATATATATATATATATATATATATATATACTAGCTGACCCGGCAAACGTTGTTTAGACAGAAAAAATATTTTTAGAAAGTTTTTAGTATAAAACATCACTTACTGTTAGTGAATATGAAACTATGTGATATATAAGTGAAAAGAGCAGCTACACAAATTATATGGATGGTTCACCCACATCAAAGCATGGCATATATATAAACGTAGAAACACTATGGCTTACGGTTTAGCAAAAATTCATTGACTTTTAGTCAGGATGAAAAACTATTCCATTACCAAAATGACTTTTACAAATTTGGGGTTTGTGGTAGAAGAGTAAAAATTTAGGGCTCTATGATTATGAAATTCCATAAAAATTGGTCAAACCGTTTCGGAGGAGTATTGCGACATACAGATATATATACAATAGAATCTCGTTAGTATGATGTTAGGCATGACTCGACAAATACGTCATTATAAGCGGACGTCATACGGACTTTTTTATGTAAATCTATATGAGTAGTTTAGTATTTCAATTGAATAATTGCACCTACTAATATATATTTTAGTAGTAAATGTAAGTAATCTGTAGTTTTAGCATATTATTTTTCATTTTATTGAAGAAACTGTCTCTAATACTATTGGATATAATTCTTCCTATATTTTAGGGCCTGATCAAGAATGTAATTGTTGGTTTCGTGGCTAATCTTGTTTCTGGTGCAGCAAACGAAATGCTTGTCGGTCATTATAACAGGATATAATTTTTGAAAAATGCGTCATGATAACCGACATGTAAGAAAAGCTTTTCATTATATCCGCTTTTTATAAAGAATTTTATATGAAAACCAAACTTCGAGTGTCGTAATAAGCGGTCGGTCAATATATGTGGAGTCATACTAAGCGTTTTTTAGTGTATATATATTTATATATGTATGTATGTATAAAGTGATGCTAATGATTTTTATGGTTTTTAATTATACCAGGATTAAATTAAATACCCACGATAGAAGCGACTTCGCTGTATACTATGACAAGTTGATATGAAACAACCTATTTTCGACTAACTACGCCGTACACATAACAGACAGCATTTTGAACGTCATCAGGCCCTCTTATTTATGTAACATATACAGAATTTTAAAATTACACTGCGAAGAAAATGTAAACTATCGCGTGTGTGCACTGCCCTTCCTTAATCTACCATGTTGAAGTACATAGAGAAAAATAACTTAACCGTTGAAATTATTATAACAGATTTTGTTTTATATTTTGTTTAATCTTAATTCAAACTTATCACTTGTACATATAGTTTTATTAGTAGCTTCTCGGCCTTATAAGCAAGTACATTAGCCATACAAAAAACTGTAAATTTTTTTTATAAATTGATGTATTAATTATTATGCCAAGTCTCGTTTATTGGGGTGTACCAATTAAACACGAATATAATCCTAATAAAAATTGTAGAAATTACTCTATATTTCTAAAAAAAAATGCAAATTTTATTGTTAGGTAACTTATGACGTTTTAAGAGAATTTCAATTGAAATATATACTCACAATCAGATATGGTATTTTAATAAGCTTTAATTGGCCATCGGGATGGAATCCATTATGTTCCAGAAAGTTATAAAATAGTGCAATCAATCATGTTTATTAAACTCTTATCAGTATTGTTTTTCATAATTATATAACTATTAAATTATAATATTTTTCATAATTGAGATACATGTTGGCACTCAAATCAGGTATGTCAATTATGAAAAAATATATTTTGTGCAAATTTAATAAGCAAGATATTTCATATAAATTAAACAATTTATAATATTTTGATTATTTTATATGTATATATATATATATATATATATATATATATATATAAAATTCTTGGGCCATGATGGCAAAACTCATCTAAACCGTTTGAATTTTTATGTAACTTTATAATCAGTATGGCTGAAAATCGGACATTTATTTATCATATCCCAAAATGGTAAGGGTAGGTAA